ATATTTGCCATCATTGGTGGAAAATATGCAAACAGCATTGGAGTCAATTGTTAAAATGAATGCAGAATAGTTTTCAGCCAGGAGCAATTCAAATGATCTGTGAAATGGAACATAGAACTGATACCCTTCAATAGAACAGTCTCCAATTACATTACCACTATAGCTCTCACTGTACTCAAAAATATAATCTGTGTCAAATACTGTAAGTTGTGAAGGCAATTCTGTAAACAATAAAAACGATTGCCGTACTAAACATGATAAGTTTGAATATAGTTCATTACCGATATTCATTATATTAACCAGGTCTTGTGGTGAGCATATGTTCTGTCTTTTGTTGCATATAAGGGCACATAAACACATTGCTAAACACTGCTGTCCTGCTGTTTGTCCAAATATAACCTGATTACCTTGGCTATATTGTGCACTGATTGTCTTACTGGGATCAATATAGAATACAGGTCCAGGATTCGTCTCAATATCTATACATAATGCTGACTGACAGGCATTCTTTAAGTGGTTGACATTTTTGTATACCTGTTGTGCATATAAATCATGAGTTGAACCTGATAAATAGAATATGTCTGCAAGGATTCCTTCACAAATATTAAATTTTAAATTTTTTGCTGAATGATTTGTGCGGCATTTCTTGTGAACCTTCTTTGGGCAGTAAACAACAGGGATACACTTTATCCTAATGTCTTGGCAATGCATAATATTCTCTACTATATAATGAAGATGAGAGGATCTGGGTACAGACCTTTTGATCTTATGTCTGAGACGTTTTCTCAACAATCGACTTTTTCCAAAGTTCCTAATTAACCATTTTACCTGTATTCTACTGGGTTCACGGTCACAGTGACATAAATGGCAACCAGTGGTAGTAGCGTCAGTAACAGACTCTTGTATGCAGACATTATAAAATAATGCATATCGTGATCGCACTGGAAGTTTCTTTATACGCATTGGATTGATCTTTGACAGACCTGTTATTTCAGTAGTCTGGTTATGCAATTTAGAAATACAGTTGTTAGATATATTTATACCTGACATACATTGATCTGTGCCTGTGAACACATTCTTGTTTTCCATATCATCTTCGCTCAAAATTGTTGACAAATTCTTGGTTGACCATATCTGTTCAGACGATATCGCATTGTCCATGTTCTTTGTAGCCTTTCTACTGGCGACCATGTTGACCATGTGCTCGTTGACAGTATAGCAACTTGATTGTGAGTTTACGTTTGTTTTTTGTATATTTGTCTGTGTATTTATATTCGTCATTTCAGTGGTACTTTTGATTTCAGTAATACTTTTGATTTCAGTGGTACTTTTGATTTCAGTGGTACTTTTGATTTCAGTGGTACTTTTGATTTCAGTGGTACTTTTGATTTCAGTGGTACTTTTGATTTCAGTGGTACTTTTGATTTCAGTGGTACTTTTGATTTCAGTGGTACTTTTGATTTCAGTAATACTTTTGTCACATTTTTGGCAACTTTTTGTGTAACATAATTTTTGGCAATCTCTGGAATTTATTGTGGATTCGTGGATAATCGACCCTGTTCGAAATCGCTCAGCATCTTTTAGTGTAGGTCTACCACGAATAGGTGCAGAGTCATGCGAGGTGAGCGTATTTGAAATTAAATCACATTCACTTACCGTAAACATCGTCGAAAAATCACTTTGTTCCCAAAAACCAAAATATAAAACAGCGAAGTATATAAAACTTTCGATTTGGGAAGGTTGCTGTTTCCATGTCAATTTTGGTAAAATTCCTTGTAAAATTGTTCAATTTTCCCGAATTTTCCTCAAAACGCAACAAAAAATTTTATTGCTTCATCAGAAAGAGCATGAAAAAATAAGCCGATTGGCCGTTTAATGCTCTATTCTATCTCATCTGGTTCCGAAGTTATACGCAAAAATGTGCAAAATATAAATTGCTGATTCAGCACAATCTGTGACGTCATAAGCTGGGTAAGTATGTTTATTGAATAGTAAACTGAAGCATAGCTCAGTTATTATTGGCTCAAATCAAATGAAATTTTGCATACAGATAGTACATGATGAGACGCATTCTCATGCGTCTCATCATGTACTATCTGTATGCAAAATTTCATTTGATTTGGGCCCATAATAACTGAGCTATGTTTCAGTGTAGTAGTCAATAAACATACTTACCCAGCTAATGACGTCACATTATGTGCTGAATCAGCAATTTATATTTTGCACATTTTTGCGTATAACTTCGGAACTAGGTGAGATAGAAAAGAGCATTAAACGGCCAATCGGCTTATTTTTCCATGCTTTTTCAGATGAAACAATAAAATTTTTTGTGCTCATACCCTTTAATATTCTTAAAAATAAAATCATCATCCAACCTCATAGCTGCACTGCCAAGTGGTGTGGCCTCAACTTTCTGGTCTTGAATTACAAAGTGCACAAATAACAAGACAACTATAAGAAATATTCGATCCCTGATCGAGCAAGCTTTGATATGCCGATATAAATGTATAATTGAAAGATCAAACTTTCCGGCCCGTATTCCGTAGGAAGAATCCCGATAACCGGCGTCTTCACCACATAGCAAATTAATAATAGACTTTCTCTGTTCTTGTCTCAACTGAATTTCGAAGCCTAAATACTTGAAATTAATATAAGAAAGAGTTTCCTCGAAAGCATTAACAGGCGGCATATTTTTTATGAGAATTACGCGGCTATCTGCTATTCAATATTTCGATACGCGAGCAAAATTATTGTTGACATTTGAGTTACGTAATTACTTCCGTTAACGAGATTGACCAATGGGAAACTTTTCCGAAGTTTTTCCGTCAAGAACACATTTGTCATAGGCATTTGGGCAGGCGTTTATTTAACGACGCCTGTTACGCAAGCTACATTTGGGCCGAAAGTGGCGCAAATTACCGTGCGTGATACAAATTAATACAAAATTTGCGAATATCGTAGGGCTATATTTTCCTCATTTTACAACATTTCGCAACCAAACATTGCAATTTTACTAATTTTAACATTCACGTTCTAGCTGTGCTGATGGATTTTGTTCTTCTTGCCTAGATAAAAATTTAATCTATAGCTGGAATTGCCGATTATGTGCCATCCCTTGCATCCGAAAATATCTAGATCCGATCAATATTTGCAAGATATAAAGACCTAATTTTTAATCGAATATTAAAATCCCTGCAATCACTTTAAAATATCCCAAATCTTGGGATAAAATCCCAAAGTTGGAACCAATGCAAAGCAGTTTCATCAGGTTTTTTCAGACCAGGGGCAATTACCAGATCAGTTGCAAAAAATTACCAAAATGGACGAAAGATTACCAAATGGGCCAATTTTGCAGCCTTGATTGCCAGTGTCCTCAAACATTGCCCTAGGGCCAAGCCATAGACTAGGCCATCAATCTATAAAAATATTAATATTATGAATTACAAGTAAAATGAATAAGTTCGAAATAAAGCGTGCAATTAGTTTTTTCAATCCAAACAAATATTAATGTACGCTACACGTCAGCAGCGGAAATAACATGGCAGCTACCGAATATTGAGAATTATCCGGTGATTGTTGTTTATGTTGACCAATCACGAACGGTAGCTAGGTGAATGCAGCAAGACCTCGCTTTGATATTTTCCCGTACAACTCTCACTCTAGATTAGTACGTTATCGTTAAATTAAAGCTGGTTTACACTAGTTACCAAGTTTCTGTGATCACAACAGGAATTTTGCGTACTGTAGTTAAATTCTATATAAGTATTTATTAAGGATTTGTAAGAAATCTTTGAGGGAACTGACTCAGTGTTAAACAATTGAAACACCACTTTGTATCATCCAATATGCACTTAGCTTGACCAGGGCCTCTTTTAAGGATATGTAACTGGGTGGGACATCTTTCCCAAGGGACCAAAAATAACGTAAAAAGGGGACCTGAAAAAAATCTACTAAAGTCTATAAAATTGCGGCTACTAGCTTAAATATGGGTTTCGCTCTAG